TCAGCAGAAGGGTCAGCTGCAGAAAGAAGAGAGAGCTCTTTGCAAACACCGTTTTCTCCAAAAGAGAGAAAGGTGTTGACTCTCCCAGCAGCACTAGAAACTGCGGCAGTGGTGAGCAGGGAGGATGCTGGTAACTGCTGAGATATTGGATGTCTTTGGCAGGATACTCTGAGTGCCTTAGGGGAATGTTCTCTCAAGTTACAGCTCACCTGCAACTGTTTGACTAGAAAGAAGGAGAGTTAAAAGATGTCCAAAGACACCAAGGCCTTCCTGTCCTGCAGCCAGAGGGGCTGGTGCCTTCATTCTTCTCAGACTTCTTTTATTATAAAGGGACAAGAGTAAATCCTTTGGGTACTGCAGCAAATGAGCTGAGATCAAGCTTCCTCCTGGCTGGGTGCCAGGGACGGGCACAGAGAGCAGGTCTTGCCCCAGTGCCTCACGTAGAGCAGGAGCTGAATACTTACGTGCCACTGGGTCTTGTCTTCATTCAGCTCCATGTTACACTGCATTTGCACCACCTAGAAGAGGACAAAATCAACATCAGCTTGGACACAGCCCCGTGGCTCCCCCAGGCCTGCTTTACTTCTTTCCAAGCACGACTTTCAAATTCCTACTTAAAGCCCCTAATTCCAACTGCCAGCCTGACCTTCCACCTCTTCCCACACTTCTCGGAGTCGTGCGGATGGGGCACTGAGGGTGAATCTAGTCCAGTGTCCAGCCACGAGCCATGGCCACTGCCAGCTGCTCCAGAGGTGGGTGAGGGAGCCCTGTGCGAGGTGCAGTTCTCAGAACCTTTACATCCAGGGTGAATTCTGCTCCATTTGCCAGGGGTAGGCTTCTCCCTCAAGCTCTGCCTAAATTCCTGGTTACGTTTTGATCCTGTACTTGTTCACATCCTTACGGGGTGACCAATCCTTAAACCAGACAAAAGAGCAAAACCAAAACCTTGCATATTATTAAAATGACATATGGATTTTCTTCAACGCGTTGCATCGCAGAATATGAGATGTGTTAGAAAATGGCATTTCATCACTATGTCATCCTCAACCTCTGATGAAGGAACCGGGTCAGCTTCAAGTCAGGTCAACTTCAAGTTCCCATGAAAATGGTTCACACCAAGAGTCCCGTTGTCTGGGCAGAGGCAGGCCAGAGCAAGCTGCAGTCGGGCAGCTCAAACAGGAGGAAACCAAGCGAGGAGTCAACATCCCCCTCCATGCAGGGTTTAATTCCTCGATTTCAAGCTTATGCTCAGAGGCGAGTTACATGCTTGTTCCTTCCCCTGACCCTGTGCCCTCCACTGCAGCTCCTCCCTGTGACAACATCCCATGGCACTGAGCTCTGCTGTCCTCTGGCCGTTACCATCCCCAGGCACCCGTTCCTCCAGGGCGCGGTGACCGGCGTGGCCACGCTCCGGGCGGGTGCCCCTTCCCTCTGAGCACTCCGAGCTGGGCAGCCTCTAGCAGGCACCATCAGGGACAAGGCTGGTTATGTCTGAGTGGATCATTACCCCCTGCTCCCTGCCGCCTCAACCTGCTGCTGGGATCAGAGTCACTTGGTGGGATGGGACATCCAGAGGTCTCTAGTCCAAGCACTGAATTCGGAGCAGGTTGTTTAGGGCTCTGCCCAGCTGGGTTTTGAAAACCTCCACGGAGCTCCCACAGCCTCTCTTCGCCCCTGGTCTGCTGTTTAACCATCCTCATCGTGAAAAAAAATTCCTTGGATCCATCCAGCATCCATATTCCAGTGCCTCCCAGAACTCTGCACTGTAACTACGCTCATCTGGGACTTGCAGGTTTGTCCAGCTGCAAGTTTTCCTGAAATCTGCAGAAACTCGGTGCTTCTGAGATTACCAGTCCTTTGTCAAATTGGGTAAAACCCAGTTGAACACACTGGTCAGACAGTGCACTCGCCAAACTCCCCTTGGAGCGTGAGGTGAAGAAGCAGCGTGTAACGGATGCAAGGAGCCGGAAAGCCGTAAGTGTGTAGGTTTGCATTTACATTCCTCTAACGTGTCTGATCGATCACCACAGCGCTCGCACTAAAAATAAGCACCGAGAACTATGAATAAAGCATAAGCTAAGTGCATGGAAAGCTGCTCCTCAGACAGACAGGAAGAAACCACTGCTGGTGCACTTTCTGAAGAGAGGCATTCCACAGCATCTTGCAGGAATAAGAAGCAGGTTTAGCCCTACATGGTATTTTTAACATCAAGTACGAAACTGCATTCCTGTCATCCACGGCAACACGCAGACAGTGCCACGGGTGACCAGTGAGTGACTAGAAGTGTCACCCCAGGGGAATCACGGTCCCATGGGGGTTTTTCTGAAGAGCCCTCTCTCTCTGAAGCTCCTGGCTGCTCTCAGGGTGGCCGGCGGTTCAGGGACAGGAGCTGGAAGAAGCGCCGTGCCTGAGCCGCGCACGGTGACGGCGGCCAACAGCCTCATCTCCCCGTATGTGTGTGTCAGCAAAGGACAAACGCCAGCTCCTGCCCCCGGGAAGGAACGATCCCTGGCAAGGACGTGGCCGGGGGTGGCCTGGCTGGCAGGAAGGCTGTGCTGGTGCTGCTGGAGGGACTCTGGGGTCAGGGTGGGCAGCAGGCAGGACATGAGCTGCAACGTGCCCTGGCACCAAGGGAGGCCAACAGCGTTCTGGGGCACAGCCAGGAGATGGAGGGAAATAATTATTCCCCTCTAGTTGGCACTTATTAAACTACATCCAGGAGTTTAGATCCAACTGCATTTAATTTTGGTCCCCCAAAACAAGACAGACATTGATGAACTGGAGCAAGTTCAGTGGAGGGCCATCAAAATGATCCTGGGCTGGAGTGGTGCCCTCTGAGGAGGGAACAGGGCTATCAGGCTCTGTGGGGACGTGGCGGCAGCCGGCCGGCCCCGGGAGGGGTGACACCGCAGCACGGAACCGCTCGTTCAGCAAAGGTTACACCGTGGGCTTGGAAGGCCCCACTTCTGCTCAAACGCCCTCGCCCTGTGTTGGTCCCTCCCTGCCTGCCCAGCCTGGCAGCCCTCCCGCTCCCCGCGGGGCCCACAGCCCCCTGCCCTCGCCTTCCTGCCACAACTCCGTGCGGGGACGCGCGGTCCCGCCCGCGCAGCGCCCGGCAGGACGGGGCCTGAGCTGGGCCGGCGCCTCAGCTCCCACCGCAGCGCCAGGATCCGTCGGTGGGGTTTCCAACACACCCCCAGCAAGGAGGCATGGAACGCGCCCCAGAGCCGGTGCGAGGCCGGAGGCAGGGCCGAAGGATCAGAGGCAAGGGGCTGCTCCAGAGGCCTCGGGGGAAACGGACCCCGCTAGCCCCAGCCAGAGGGACTGTCGCAGGCCGGGGGCAGGCGGCGCAGCGAGGAGAGAGCTCTGACCCCGGCACGGCCGAGGGCAGAGGCGCTCCCACAGCGCGGGGTTGGGAGCGGAGACTCTTCACCCACGCCCAGGGCAGCGCCTATCCCTGGCTGGATCTGGCCTTACCTTCCTGGTCTCCACGTCGAAGGGCTCTGGGGTGGGAGTCTTGGCTTTCTGAGGGTCCTCCTGGGGCTGGGAGAGCACCCGCGGGAGGGCGTGGGGTCTGGAGACAGCGAAGTTCATCAGGGGGTAGATCCCGTTCCTGGTACCGACACAGAGGGAGGACAAACAGCTGAGCCCTGGCACGGGTCTGCTGCGGGGGCCCAGAGCAGGGACCTGCCCCGTGGCGTGGCAGGGCCGGCAGCGCGGCCACAGAGCCCCCCGCACCCTGGCGCCGCAGCCCAGCTCTGCTGGCCCCGGGGAGGGGCACGGGGGGGTCACACACATCGAGAGCTGCAGCACGGGCCCCGGCCCGGGAGCCGAGGGAGGAGGCAGACACAGTGCAGGTCGGGCAGCAGCACCCTCCACCCACCTGACGTCTTCTAAGAATTTGTCGAGTTCAAGGAAGGAGACCTCCGAGTACCTGGGAGAGAAGCAGGACAGGGCGATTACTGGGGGAGGCAGGAGAGAAGAGCGGTGCGGAGGACTTCAGTGGCTTTAAACTGCAGCAGGGGAGGGTCCGGCTGGGCAGGAGGACAAAATGTTTCCCAGCAAGAGTGGTCCGAGAGTGGAACAGGCTGCCCAGGGAGGGAGGAGTTCCCACCCCTGGGGGGGGTTCAGGGCCGTTGGGATGAGCTGTGGGGGATGTGGGGTAGGGGAGAACTGTGTAGAGTCGGGCTGAGGGTTGGACTTGATGACCCCGAGGGGCTTTTCCAGCCTGAAGGATTCTGTGACTCTGTGACCCTGTGAGTGCTCTGCCATCACCCCGGGATCACCAGGCTGGATGCAGGTCCTGGGCTCGCGGCTACGGCTGCTCTGAAACCTCCCCACTCCTCCTCACCTCCACTGGGCTCCGGGCCGACCCTCCCTCCGGATCTCGGCCATCACCATGTTCAGGTCCAGTTCCTTTATCTTCTCCTCCACCACGTTCTCCGGCATCAGATCTGGGGCGAGGGCAGAGAGGGGCCGTCAGCCGGGCGGTCCCGCAGCGCGACGCCGCAGCACAGACCCGCGGGCAGGCCGGTGA